TGAGCCACCATTCACTTGAGAGGTGTTGAATTGGCCAATCATCAGGGGGATTGCACAAAGGAAGAGAGTTTTGAGAAGCAGAGCAGAGGTCAAAGAGGATGTTTAGGCATAGTGGATGGCTTAGGAAAAAGAAAAAGTACTGTGACAACTTAGGGATAGGGGGAATAAAATGATTCCTGGTGAGATTTATCTCCAGCCATTATTAATAGGAAGTGGGAAGTGTTTTCCAGTCTCCTTCAAGCTCAGCCAATTGCTGTAGTGCCTGCAGCCTGGCAGTGGTGAAAAGGCATGTGAATTTCTTCTGCTCTTCAGAGCTCTTGAGTCAGTATTTCAGCATCACTGTTGCTTGTGTAGAGTACCTAAATTTTTCAGAAACTACCTTGAATTGGTGCTCAGACAGACTGCTCCAAGGCCAGCCCAAGCAAAGCTGTGTACACAGTGCTGGAGGGTGGCTGGGCACTCTAGGTAAGTGATCTTGATAGGTACATTCTGATTGATGGGTGAGTTTGTCTCCCAAACTGTCACAGGGTTTATAGAGGTGCCACTCAATACCGGTGCTGGAATTGCTTGTCAGAGTACCTGGCTACAAGAGCAATGGGGATTGGAGACAGAGCTGTAACTTTGTTTTTTCTCTGCTTAATGGCCCCAGCGTCTGACCTGCCTGCTCAGTCCTGTTTGTCTGGACCTTAAGGAGGCAGCTGGGATTAAAACTGTCAGAGATTTGTGCTGCTTTAGCATCAGGAGGCTAATTGTATCGGGGCTGGCAGTGTATGACAAGTGGTTGCCCCTCCTAACAAATGCACAGCAAGAGCAAAAATTTCTTCAACAAGGAAAGGGAAAGATACAGGAGAGCCTGCATTTTGGTGTATTCTTTCTTCATCAGAAAGCAGCGTTTTCAAATTCACATGTGGAATTACATTCCTCAGGCCTTAGGTGACACCTCTCCTTGTAAGAGTTGCAGCTGCTTCTGCGAATAACAGTCTCCTGTAAATTCCTAGGTCAAACACACAACATTCAGTTGTTGGATTTCAGTTTATTAACACGTTGGGATAAAGTTCTGGTTCCGAGCATTGACCTCTGGATAGTAGCAGTGGCTTCAGAGGTTCACTCTCGGCAGCATTGCTGATGGCTCTGAATTACTGTGTGACCTTCAGAAGCCAAGCGTTGCTGGAGGAACCCTCCTCTGTTCCTAGTACACGCTATTGAATTGCAGATCACTCAAGTGTAATGGTAGGGGGTCTTCTGGAAGCTCCCATTCTCCTCTGGTAGGTCCAAAACAATGCTATTGCAAAGGCAATTTTATTCTGCTCGACACCCTCTGCACTCCATCTCACATTTTCCTTGCTCCTGGATGGCAGCATATAGTACCAGCAGGAGCTGGAAGTTGTGAGCCCTCTTTACACTTGGGCTGAGTTAGTGAGAAGCAGGTGTGATCCTATCAGGCCTTCCTTGCATTTAGTGGTCCTCTTAATCCATTTATAACAGCACTTTTCCAAAAATCTGGTTTGAATGAGCCTGAGATGAATGAATAATGTCAAGCAGTTCAGACGTCAAATATTTGAACAGCTGCCTGGGTGTTTTCACTGGCTTTGTGCATGGAAGCAACCCCAAGAAGTTAGACAAGGAGGGTCAGGTCGAAATTGTGGCATTAAACCCCAGCCCACTGGAACTGGCCTCAAAATCCATCCCTCACCCCTGCTGCAGATGAAAGGGCATTAGGATGCCAGTGGCAGGCCATTTGCTCTGCAGGTGATGCAGAACTGAGCTCTTTGCTGTTCTCTTGTGTGCAGGGGTAGTACTGGGATTCATGGACCTTTTGAGTCACATCAGAAACATACTTTGTGGAGGGTTTTTTCCCCTCTTTTTTTGTAAAGCAGCCTCTGAAGTCCTAAAACTGATAGCCCTACTTATATTCAAAGTCTTCTCTGGGTTTACAGAGGTTAATTTGGTCAGCAGTTAGCATACACTTTCTGAATCACTTTATTTTTACCATGTTGCAATGGACTGCACTTGGTCATGTTAAAAAGAAATCCATATTTGGCAAAGATCTAAGAGCTGGATCATCTTATTGTGGTTTCCTTTAGCTGCTGGCCTGGGAGTCCGTGTTTGATCAGGAAAGAAAATGTACCCTTCTCCTGTCCCTCATCTTAACCTATGAACTTCTCTGCTACACCCTCCTTTCTGACTGAAATGCTCTTTCAGGTCATCCCAGTTGTATCTGTCATTGTAACACATAACTGCCCAAACCCATCCCTGTGCACTCTCTGTGTAGGGAGGAGAGGATTCTGTGGCAATGCAGTGGTTCCTGTTAGAGACTCAGATTCAGCAAAAGCTCTGGAATATTTTCTTTTCAGACTTAAAAGGGATTTTCTTAAGTACAAAGGTTTTGAGAGCAAGGACACCAGGATTCTGAATTCAGGGTACTTTAATATTTGTAAACTGTATCACAGTAAGCGGATTTTCTCTTCTTAAGCTCTAACCATAAACCACTAGTTGGCTTGAGTCACTTGGAAGCAAAATTGATGGAAAGGTGCATGTTTGATGTATGCTTGGTGTCCTTGCAGAGGGAGAGACATGGGGAGCGGTCCCACTTACACTCACTCTTTTGGACACCTTCAGCTTCCTCAAGGCACTTGTTCCAAGTATTCATTGTCTGGCTAAGGTTCAGATCACCTCTGGGACTGGCCAAATTGCAGCTCCAGCTTTGCATGATTTGTGTTTCCTGCAGCTAGAAGAAAAATGAAGACCTGTGTGTCCAAAGTTTATGGCCTTTGAGAAGTGATGGGCTAAAGTAATGCCAGGTGCAGGGGATGCTGTTACTGAAGGTTAAATGCCATGCCTGTAAATTACCACCCCATCACCCACTGTGACTTCTAAGGCATCTTTGAAAGACTACCCAGCTTCTTTGACAGGTCTCTCTCGCTCCTCTAAATCTTCTCCCAAACATTGTGATGAACTGAAGGAGTCAAGATTTACTAGATAAGCCATTGCAGCTCATGACATGTGTTGGCTAGCAGCATGCAGCCAGTATATGAAGTGCTTTATAAGAGGTCTGCTGGATGACAGCTGCCCCAGTGACACCCCAGAGCTGACCTGCAAGTCTGGCTCCTGCAGTACCTGGCACAGATGGTGGATGCTGCATTGTCAATGCTCATTGTGTTACCTCTGCTAAAGATTAAGGCTGGCAATTACTTTGAAGTAAAAGGTAGTTTATGCTTCCAGGGAAAGGTTAGTCTTAAAATCATTGCCATGCTACTGTTATCACTCGTTAAGAACCTTCTTTATATTCAGGGAAGAGAAATATCAAATCCATATAAACAAATTTTATTGGGGGCTTAATGAATCAGTGAGAGCATCCGTTCCTAGAGAGTGACAGTAAAGAACTGCGTCTGCATGGTGTCCTTGGAAATGAGACCTTCGCCTTGCCCTGCTCTCTGCACAGATGTAGGCTGTTAGAAATATCGCTCACTATTCTGGGCTAGGAAAGTGCAAGTTTGCAGCTGGCAGCACAAGCTTATATAAGTCTGCTGTTGAGAGCCCAGTGGGATGAACAGACTTGGGCATCTGTAGCCCTAAAAGAGCTACTCTAATGCTTGGGGAATGTCCTCATTCTTTGGACATGCCTCTTGTATTCAGTGCTTCTGGATTAATTTTAGCCTGTTGTGTTCATTCAGAACCACATTCAAAGTGCAGAAATGTAACCCCTGTGGGGGGGGAATATGTGCAAAGCCAGGATGACATCTACATGTTTGCAGGTGGGATGTGCTCCTGGTCTAGTCACAGACTTAGGTAAGTTACCAGCTGTCTGGATGTGCCAGGTCCTTCAGGCTCTACCAGATACCTTCTGTGAGCCACGTGTCAGGTCTGCTGCCTGGACAGTGGGGTGCTAAGTGAAGGAAGGTACTGGAGGCAGCCAGAGTGAGCAGATTTCTGCCTGCTTAGCTTCTATCCCCAAACAGCTTAGATCTGCTGCAGAATCAAGCACAAATGAGGACCTTACACCACCTTAGGTTTCAGGAGATGTTTAATTTCCAGTCTCATGGGAGAGAGCATATCCAGTATTAGATCTCATAAAGAGAGATCTAAAGAGTAAAAGAAAGAGTAAATTAGTTTCCCTTCTATTAATAAACCTAAGGCAGCAAATAACCCTGTGAAGGTTCATCTTTGTAAGTGTTTGCACACTGATTCAAGAAAAAGAAGCCTGGTTACTATCAGCAGTAACACAGACTGCAAAATGCTTGAGAACCAAAGTAATGTGTAAGGTTTTAGAAACTGGCAAGTGTTCAACATTTCAGTCTCAGATGGAACTGTTAAAGCTTTAGTTGGAACTGGTCTTATGCCTGACCCACCTGTGTTGGAAGTGCAGGACTCTTTTTGGCTTGCACTGGAATTTAGTCACTGAAGTACTTGTAAGGAGCTGTTGGTAACTGTGGAGGCTTTCTGGGTTTTATTTCTTCTCCTCCCCTAGAAACAGGTTTCCTGTTCTTAAATGTTTTGTATTGTAAAAATCTAAGCTATGATTAAATGCATTTAAAAAATAAAACGGCGTTTCTGATTGTATTTTAGTCTCTGCTTGCCCTTTGCAGCTGAATTAAGGACTAATTCCAGCTGTCCCTGTGGCCTTCTCTTACCTGTTAGTTATGCAGGTTTTGTGTTAGCCACTTCTCTGAAAAACCAGTCTTTCCTATTTTGCTTCTGTTTTTTTCTGCCTTTGAGAGAGCTTTCCGGTGCCATCAACTTTAACTCATGTGGAGAACAAAAATGTCAGTGTTGAGGGGCATTTTAGAGCATAAAGTACATGAAGTTAGAGCATTTCTGTGAGTGCCTTCTCTGCAGTCTCCTGAAGATTGTTCTTTTGCAGCCTTTGGAGATGATACCTTTTCTGATGCTGTTAAGAGTAAGGACAGCCTGCAGACTGGTGCTGTTGCACCGTGCTTAAGAGATCTTGTACACTTCATCTCTAATTCAGATGCTCATCCATCTGGTTTATTTTCTTCCAGGTTCTGGGTTTATCATGTGCAGTGGCAAGGAGAATCCAGACAGCGACGCTGACCTGGATGTGGATGGAGACGACACACTTGAATACGGGAAAGCACAGTATCGTTTTTGAAAGGCTCTTACTGAGAGGGAATTTATAGGTGCATCTGCAGCTAGCTTTCTTGCAGCACTGCCTTGGGTATTGGTGGATAGTCTGTGTCCAGCCCTACTGGAAAGGACACAGCCTTCTCCAGTTACCATGTTATTTGAACAAGGAGGAATTCTCAGTTACCTCCTTTGAGACCTTTCTGTTGATGCAGCGCTGCTTCAGACCTGGTTGGTGAGCTCTGTAGGAGATATTATAGGAGATCAAAGTTAGTGATCTATCTTCCTGGTTTATAAGCAAACCAGGAGGTTAGATCAGCAAATCCAGGTTTCTTCCATGTGGATAGTTTTTCCTGCTTCATACGTAGGCATTGAGTTTATTTTCCAGAAGATACTCCATTGTTTTCAGGATTTTTGTGCAGTAAACATTTCAAGCACTATTCACCTGCCACTCCTTTCATTAGTTGTGAACTACCATTAAGGGCAGTTATGGGGAACTTCTCTGTCTGGGAGCCAAGCTTTTCAGATGCAATTCTCCTCCACCAAGGAGGAATTCATGCAGGGGTATTAGGTAGACATTGACTTAGCTGTGATGAGGGGGAGTGTATAGCTATAGAATTAAACTGTATTGAAATCTGTACCATCCTTTAAGACTGAAGCCCCAACTCTTAGCTATTAAAAGATCTCTGTACCTCAAACAGAAATAGTGGAATTGTGCAGGTTAGGCTTGCAGAGGTTGAGGAACTGGTTTTCCCCTTCTAGGAAGCTGTGGCATCATGTTACTGTCAAAAGATTTTTCTGTTTCTTTCCACCTAAACCAGACTTTAATCCAGAATTTAAAAGCAAGCCCCTCCATGGATACCAGCCCCTCTTCTTTTGAGGTGTTTCCAGTTGGAATGAATTTGTTCTATATCCCAGATAGTGTCCTAACCATCTCAAAAGCCTTTCCACTGTCTCCAGCAAGACTGTATGCTCCTTAATCCCTTGTGTTCAGGTACACAGAGGCAGACGTTATCCCTTGCACTGGGGAAGAGCCAGGTGAAGCCAAAGAGAGGGAGGCGCTCCGAGGTGCTGTTTTAAAGTAAGTACTATACCTTTCTAATTTGCTTTTATTACTTTTGGGGGAATCTCAATTTATTCAACCACTTGAGTGCAAGGATCACAACAAGAGAGACTTGGATGAAGCATAGTGTGATGGGTGGGTCTCCATTTCTGCCCATGCAGCTTCATAAAGCCTCTGTGTACGCTCTCCCTCCCTTAACCACCCTGCATCCCAGCCAGTGCCATCTCCTCCCCGAACAGTGCTGGACAGAAGGTGAATTCTGGGAAAGGAGAAACTGTGTTGTACTAAGACTTTATGCATCATCTTGCTTCACGATGAAATGTAGCTTCTTAGTCGTATAATGTGATGCCAGCTGAATCATGTTCAGCACATTTGGAGTCTGACACCCAGGGTATGATTTCATTGCATCACATTGTGTGTTGTGAGGCATGCAGACTAATCCTTCTGCGTTTGATTCTGGTGTTGCGGCAGGATGTGTGCTCTGCCCACATACATATGTGGAGAATGTAGGCAGCCAGTATTCTGGGTGCCTGGGGTGGCTTTCAGGCAAATAAAATGAGTCTTACCACAGAGCTAGGATTGCTTTCTAAGCCCTCTGCCCTGCATAAAACAGGGCTTAAATTACCCCTCTGTCTCTTTCACAGGGTGATCTTGTGAGGTCAAGGTTGAAGCGATTGATAGAGCGGTGAAATGAAGTTTTCTTACTGCTTAGCCTGTCACAAACACTAGTTCAAAATCAGGTTCCACTCCATAGAAAAGTGGCATTTGCCATGCTGGATCCAAACCATTGGTCTTTTCTATACTTTGCTAACCATGCTGGTCCACAGACAGGGCCTCAAAGATGCTGGAACTCTTTCACAGCCAGGACAGTGGTATTGTAGCAGGAGGATATCTGGGTGTCCCTTTTGAGTGGTTGTGGACACTTAGTGCTTGGTGAGACAGTTGAGGTCCTGAGGCCAAGAGACCGAGTTCCTTCATGTGGCTTGCACCTGATACATTGCTTCACTGTTTGGGCAACGTCCTTGCATGTCTCCTGGATGGGTTGTCTGCCCATCTCTAAAACAGGAGAGGTGATGCTGCTGTAAAAGCACTTTGAAATTGTCAGGTTTCTGTAGAAACGCAGTAGGGTAGCTGATGCTATGGAGCATGAGCCTGTGTTACTTTTTGAGTGCAACTGTCCTAGTACATAGAACACATAGAGCCAAAATGTTATACAGCCACAGGTGTGCAGCCTGCTCAGAAGATTCCTTTCTCTCACAGTCTCTTGCTGGCTTGCAAGTGAATAGACAGGGTCTGTACTTCAGTGCTGCTGTTCTTCAGATGGGAAGATGGAAAAGATGGGGCTTGTGAAGGTGTAAAGTTATTCTTAAAGGGAGAAGCTATTGCAGCACTGAGGATTTCTATTCACAAGGTTTTCAGAGTAAGGTTTTCATCTTTGAAACTGCGTATTCAAAAACGAGCCTTAGGTCACAGATGCTGTCTGAATCCCAAGCCTTCAGTTAGCATCACTACCCCCATGTGATTCAGCAGAGGTCGCAGAATGTGGATTAGCACAAAACCACCTCCTGCAGCAGGCCAGCCGCTCACATTTTAAAGCCTAAGCTGATGGGTAGAAGTATTAAGAGAGAACTGCTGGGTGGAAGGGGTAGCTTTTCCTGAGCAGCAGAACTTTTCATATTCAACCTTTAGCATTCTGCCCTTTTCTCTTTCAGTGGTGGCACACCCAGTACCCGAATAACACCGGAGTTTTCTAAATGGGCCAGCGACGGTGAGTGTTGAACTTGTGAATTATTAATGTGTGTGCTGCAAGAGGGCAGGTAGATACGCCATATCTTCTGATTGCCAGTAATTAGGTAAACGATAGTTACGCATACTTTAGCACAGTAGCAGCAGATACATATGATGTACAATCACACTGTCTTTGTGAAACTTTACTACACAATCAGCTGGAGTCAATGACAGCTGAGGGAGTTCCCAAAAATGCAACCTTAACTGATACAGTGATAAGAGATAGGGGTTGGATTGACTTGCTGTCTTGTCAGTAAAAGACAAACTGCTGTATAACAGAGAGGGCCACCAGAGCTCGACTATGTGATGGCGGAGTTCAACTGCTGGGCAGTTAAGCTACACAGGCATCTGTTGTTTGGATCTTTGAACACTTTTACCATCTTTGCTTCTTTAAAAGGGTGTGCTGGGGACTTGTATCATTATCTGTTGGTTAGGTCTTGTCCTTGCTGGCCTCTGTAGGGCAAGAAAAGCCTGCAGCTCGGAAGCCTCCACCTTTGGAGTGGGACCTCTAGGATCTGTCCTACTTGATGACCTGTTGTTGAGACTCCAGTGCCAGCGAGTGAATGTGACATTATACCTTTGCATGCATTATGTGAGAGCTCATAGCATTAAGGGCACAAGGGTGTTAAACCCATTGGACCGCTGTGGTTTTTTTATTTAATGCCTGCAGCACTGGAAGTGTAAGCAGCAACCTAGTGGAAATATGAGAATGATAAAACCTGGCACTTTCCAGCTGTAGATGCCAAATCCATTTCCAAAGCTGGACAGTGCTACTCCAACTCCCTTAGGAAGGGAACTGAAGCTCGGCGACCTGAAGAGACTTGTCCCAATGATTTTGTTCACTGTTCTTTTACTGTAATGCTTTGGGCATTTGATTCCCAGCCTTGAAAGTACCTACAAGACATAATTGCTTGCCAGTGGGAGGGGGTGGGTAGAACCAGTTTGCCAAAGGCATGATGATGAAATGGAAGAACATAGGATATCTATCGCAGGCATTTTCTTCTGTGGGATAGGCAATCTCATTTATTTTCTGTCATGTAGGAACAGTTGCCTTCAGGTGTGTTCAGCTTCAGTAACTACAGCCACAGAGGTGATGAGGAAGCAGCCCTAATGACATTTGCTATAAGCTGTTTTCTTCATACCTTTTACCCAAAACCACAGTACCGAACCTACAGCTCAAGGGATGGCCCTAGGACAGTTCACCTGGCTCATCTCCAGCTGGTATCTCACACCTCCTCCAGTGCTGGGAGGAGCCATGGGATTGCTAATATTAGGAGAGCTGTGAGCAGACTTTTCTGTCATACTGGTTACCTGGCATATATTGTCGATGTCTGAGGGGTCTCAGAAAAAGGGAGAAGCTGAGAGCAGGGGTTTTGCTCCAGACCTAACTTTCAAGAAGTACACTTTGGCGTGACAGCCCACATCAAACCATTCTGAATTAAATCCTGGCTTGAACAAGTGCTACATCTGTGAGGGTCAGAAAGTATGAAGTGGGGAGACTGTAGGGATTGTATTTTCAGTCCTGAATCATAGGAGCGTGCTTTCCAAAGAGAGGGCCTCCCTGCCAAACAGGGACACATAGCATCAGTCTCTTCTCTCTCTTTCCAAGAATCAGCATGAAAGTAACTCATAGGGATCCTCTGCTTCTGAAGCTGTAACTCACTCGGACTATTTCATTGCAAGAATCCAATGCCCTCTTACTAATTTGTCTGTTCTTCCCCAGCAGAAATGCCCTCAACGAGTAATGGCGAAAGCAGTAAACAGGAGACCATGCAGAAGACCTGTAAGAACAGTGACATTGAAAAGTGAGTATAAAGTGCATAGCTTTCATTTTTCTTGTTTTGAAAAACCATAGCATCTCACCTGGTGTTCCCAGAAGCAATGCTACTCTGAGGGTAGGCATGTCTGAAGCTTTTAGCACTGAGAAAATAAGTTGTGCTCCAATGTGAAGCCTGGACTTGGAGCTGTTGGTGTCCTGACTTGCTGTTTCTGTGTCCACAGAGGGCCTGCGGGGGAGTTCTTCCCCAGATAACTTGCGTGGACAGGTACCCAGTCACAAGGAATTGAGCACAACTTCCAAATGGCTTCTTCCCTGCAAATTGCCTTCTTTTAAATTATGTAAATAGATATATCCATGTTTTCCACCATATTCTAGTTACAGTGTGTTTTCAAATATGTTGGGTGATGCATAACAGCCTAGACTACAGCTGGGACTTTGAACAGGAGGTGAAGATTCAAACCCACTTTAACCTGGCTAAAGCAAATGGCTTGTCAAGCTGTACTTAGATTTTTATTGTTCTTGTTCTCATAGCAAGATTTCTGCTATAAATGTATCATGGGATCCTGCTTTTACAGGAAAAGTTCCCTTATCTTTACATCTTGCGTTTTGAGAGCAGTCCTTCACATGGTCTCTATTCTGTTTTCTCTGTGGTACTTGCATTTTTCACGCTCCTTCTCTCCAGCAAAAGGGAATCCCAGCAGCCCTGTAACTTGACAGAAGCATCACTGAGATAATTTCTTTTCATTTAGGATCTAGATTTCATCTTTCTATGGTTGCTAATGGAAGTAAGGCCTCAATTCCTGAGGTTTTCACCTGCAGCCTTTCCAGTTGATTCAGAAGTGTTTGACTATACAATAGTGCATTTGAGTAACAACCTCTATCCTCAGCCTCCTTTCATGCATTGCTATGGTGACTTGTTGCTCAGGCAGATTCAACAATCCAAGCCTAAAACTACAGGCTCTTACCTTGCTGCCATGGACTGCATTAACTGATGTGTTTTAAGTTGATTGTTGTCTGACATAAAATGTTCCCCCAAGATCAAGTAAGAGATAAACAGCTCAAATGAGATGGAAGCAATGAGGTAGTTGTGGGTTTTAAACAGATGGCATTTGTATGTTGAGGCTGAGATCCATTGATAATTTGTGATTGAGGAAAAAATTCTGGCAGTAGTGTTAAGCTGATTTTCTTTCAAGTGGGGGGTTTTAAATGTAGTTTGTTCTCCTTCTGCCCCCTGGTCCCGCCTTGTGTCCCTGGCACATTTGGGGATCTCTTGGCAGTTCAGCCAGTATGGCAAAGCATATAGAGCATAGAATAGTTAGGATTGGAAAGGACCTTAAGATCATCAAGTTCCAACCCCCTGCCATAGGCAGGGACACCAGTTAGGGGTTAACTGGGGAAACTCCCTGCTGCAAGAGGAAACTTTAACACTGCTTTGCTGTCTAGGCACTTTCCTTTTTAGAAGGCTTTAATTAGCATGTCCCAAACATGGGCTGTCTTCTCAGTGAGCAGACTTTGTCCAAGGACCACTGAGTTTGGACCTCTCAGGTCAGTGCAGAAGCAGCTTTGTCCTTAGAGTGAGCAACCGTTGCATGCTGTCCTGGTGGCGAGGACTCATCCCTTCAGCCCTAATCTGTCAGCCTCTGTTTCAGCCACTGCTTGGCTTCCCTTTGGGCCTCTTGCCTGTCAGCCCAGCAGCCCTCTAGCCTCCCAGATCCAATCCTATTGAAAATCTTTAAACTGCAGGAGCTGAAAGGATTTGACATTTTCCAGAACACTTGAGCTCAAGTGATAAAATTGACATAGCTTTAATAATCTGATCAAAGAGGCTTTAGCTTGCACCTTTTGAAGGATCCTGGAATCCTTTCCAAACAGCTCTTGTGCTAACACCGCTGTGAAGTACAGGGAGCATGTATGTGTGTGTGTGCATGCACATGTATGCACACACACCTTGCTCTGCAATAACCTTGCCCCACTAAAGCTTCAGTTCCACAAAAGGTCCAAAATGTCAGCAAAACCTAATAGAAATTACAGGAAAAGCCTTAAATGTCTTGCTGAGTGTTTCCAGTAACATTGAGTTTTTTTGGAAGTAGCAGGTAGAGGTTTTTATCTAAGGCTTTTTATTTCATCATGGTTCAGAAAACAAGATGGTGTTTCAGGTGGAGAATTCCTTTTTTTTTCCCCCTCTCCTTTCCTTTGAGATTCGTGTGATAAATAGTTTCTGTCCTGCCATTTAAGGAGTCTGAATGCTCTGTGTGCTTGTCTGTATAGAAGGGTTCTGTTAAATTAATTGATAACAGGGATCAGAGCTAGAAGCCTACAGAAAAGGAGGGGGAAGGGTTTCACACTGTCTGGCTGCTTCCCACTCCACTGCTGAGCCATGATATATGGCGACCCAGCCCAACAGGCTAAATTGATTCATCTCCAGTTCCTGTTTCTTAATCTGGAGCTAAATTGGTTTCATTTTTCTTGTTTTGGGCGGTGCTTACAGGAAGTTTTTGGCAGCATCACTTTACTCCATTGTTTGTAACTTTAATTTTTGCCTTTAAATCTGAGCGGTATTGATTGGCATGTTAAACCCTGTGCAGCATCTGATTAGCATTTTTAAATTGTCCAGAAGCACATGGCTTACCCCGTGTGTCAGCCGTGCTCTCTCTTCAGAGCAGTGCCTAATAGAGTTAGCAGCGATCCGCTATTGATCCTTCTCTCCTAAGAATGACGTTCCTTCCCCCTCCCCTCTTCCAAAAATAAGCCTAGCAAGGAGACCAGTGTGGTTTTGTTTGGTTTTTAATCCATTAATACAGTACAGTAGGTAGTCCTCCTTTTGACACACTGCTGAAGCTCTGCTTAGGCAAGTTAATTTAGTCTAAACTTAGGGTCTGGTGGAAGTCTCTTGCATGTTGAAAAACTAGATGGGGTTTGGGGTAAGTCTGCCTTTGTTGCCTTGTGTCTTGCACCATGCCACGTCATCAGTAGCTTGGGAAGGTTAACTTCATCTATGTTGAACGTCGAATGGCAGCCACAGGTAATGAGACATGATGCAGGTCCCAGCATATGCTGGGTCCTTGGTAGCTTGGGCAGATTTTTCACTTGTGTTGCATTGAGCTTCAGATGGCAACCATAGGTAATGAGACATGATGCTGATTCCAGCTCTCCCTCACAGCCATGCTGGGCCCGTGGTAGCTTGGGCAGATTTCTCACCATTGGTCTCATTTGTGTTGCATTGAACTTTAGGTGGCAGCCGTAGGTAACGAGGGAAGTGGTCCTGGTCCCAAGACTGGGGGGTGTCTCAGCCCTGCTGAACTTTTCTAATCTCACCAGTACAAGGTGTCTGGGAGAGACACCCTGAAGGTTCATGGGGAAAGCATTGCACTGGCTGCAGCCCATCTGCTGAAGACTTGGCTCTGCCCATCTTGAGTCTCTGAACTCAAGATGCAGCTTTGCTCGGAGATAGCAGCAAGCCCCTAGTTGGCCAGGCATCCTCCACCAACATCGTACTCTCAGCCAAAGCACTGTCACGCACAGAGAGCTGCAGAAAGCACCTTCCCCACAAAAAGTCTTCCTCCCCCCTCCCTCCCGCAATGCTGCTTGCAAGGGTCTGGTGCCATTTTGAAACCGAGGTTCTCCGGGGTTAAAAGCCAGCATCTTAATTCAGAGTGCCAATGTTCAATTTTGCTTTCTGCCACCAGACTAGATTGCAGGCCAGCGAGAGAGTCTGGGTTAGTGGCCCACTGGGTCACCTCCCATTTGTTTTCCTCAATTTTGTGTTGTCATAAATTCATTCCAGCCCGTTGTGGTTGATCAGTTTATCTCCGCCGGGGCAGGGAGCGCTGCGAGCATGATATATGGCACAGAGCATTGTAGCCAGCCTCTCCATGAATCACTCCAGCTGTTTGGTGTCAGCCCCAAAGCAAACAGGACCCGGCCGCTGAGCGTTGACTACGATGAGCTCAGTATGGGAAGAGACATGACGTATGAATGTTTATTTAATAATTCTCTAATATTTCCAGCGGAGTGTGGCTGTGCCTTCTGGGAGGGGTGAAAGGCGGGGGGAGGTTGAAGAGGGAAACTCTAATCTGTTGGGGTGGATCATAAATCAGGCAGACAACATCATTAATCAGGGATGGGACAGAAGTGGAAGGAGGTGGGACTGGAGCTGCCATCCTCGGTGGGAAGGGGGCTGTGCTCTTCTTTTTTTTTTCCCTTAAAACAAATCTTGTTTCTGATTCCGCTTGGCCCCAACCGCACCACCCGCATAATAGCAAACCCGGACACAAGGCTGGTTAAGTGAGTATGCTACCTCTGCTTATAAACCTTCAATACGAGCCTGCCAAGCATAAAATCCCTTTATAATTATCTTCTTTATATAACACTTCATGCTCATCATGCTTCATTGGATGAGACGCTCGTTGGGTTAAAAAGAGGGGTTTAGAGACAAAAAGCAATTGTATTTGTTTTATTTTTCTTGCCTCCTCTTTCCTCCCCTTCCCTCCCACCTTACCTCTTTCCAGTCCAGCTGTTCTGAAGGCATCAGTTCCAGAAGGGCTCTGGTGTGGCAGCACAGGAAGGAGCATCAGTTAAAATGAAACAAAGTTTGGTTTGGGGTCCTTGTGGAAAGAGTCAAGCGTGTGAGAGCAGTCAGGGAGGCAGCAGTGTCTGTCCCAGGGACCTTCCTCCTGGGCAGACAGGTCAAGATGGGAGCAGAGTAAGTGTGAAGCCAGAGGATTAGTAGAGGCCTGAAAGGGAAGGAGCCACGATTAAGCTGGTGCATCAGATGGAAACAGAAGCTGTTGTGAATTGACATCAGAGGATAAGTGCTTCTTAGCCCTTTGCCATAGTGTCACACCATTAATAGGCTTCGGTGGGAGGCAAGAATGTCATATAGCAAAGATAGAATTTAAAAGTTAGCTTGAGTCATAAATGAACCAACCCTTTGTGCTCTGCTGAGAGAGAGCATTGTCCTGGTGTGTCCAGTCCTAGATCAGCCCATGTAAACTTGAGACAGGATCCAGGAAGCTGAACTGAAAC